CACCAATCTTTCCAAAACGTCTCTCCACCGTAAAACCATAAAACCATAATTTTCCGATCGTTATTCGAATATTCGAACAGAAATAATTTCGAAGAAATAATCGAAATTCCTTTCCACCATTTGCCATTCGTTTCTCTTCGACGATTTTTGCCTTTTGCAAGCATTTTTCCAACCCCCGATCAAGCTCCGCCCGACCACTTCCATTCACAATTCTAGGTTTTACGGTGTTATTCTTATTCTTAGGCCGGTTTCCAAGTTGCAGAAGGAGCTGTTAATCATCCCGTTGAACCAGAACCACGGGCATAACGCCGCGTGACCCGCGATGCCTATCAGCTCAGGATTAATTCACAGTTTCTCCAACCGAGAATTTATGGAGATAGTCGATGCTTAATTCCTCGCGGCGCGGTTCCGTTGACAGCTTTTTCTTTTCTTTTCTTTTTTATCTACGCCCTGCTAATGGATCTTCAACAGTCTTCCTTTTTTCCCTTCGATCTCGGCCGACGATTCGCAGCGGATTCCAACGATTTCTTTCTCGAAAACTCGATACTCTTCTATGCGTTTCCATTGCAATTTTTTTAATCCTATCTTCTCGATTATTAAAACTTTCATCTAGCATCTAACTAAGCTAGAGCATCTAACATTTAATTAATTAGGAAGAGGAGTTTTTGAGAATTTCTAGGAGAGTTTTCTTTTTCCCCCTCCCCAAATTTTCTTAAATATTTTGGCCAAAGAATATCAATTGTCAATCCTGTTGTTAAATTAATTTTTCGTTAAATTATTTTCAATTATTATTATTTTTCAATTGTGTTGGTAAAGGAAACGGGAAAATTGGGAGATTTCTTTTTTTCTTCTTTCTTTCTTTTTACGAAATTACGAATGTAGAGTGTATATTCTTTGATAGGGAGCAGTACAATGCGCCAGTCGGTTAACAACATGGCCGACATTACGGCAAAGAAACGCGCCAAGAATTCTTTCCACTCCTCGCTTCTGTCCCTGCCTCGTACGACAACGGAGGAACAGAAAAAAAAAAAATCATGGAACGACAAGGAGTAGCTTTCTAAACTGTCTCTCGTACAACGCACACGTGATATCACAATTATAATCAATCTTGGATCCACCATAGAACTATCACAGCACACGTTTATTAAAAAATGAAAAGCACACGTTACGAGCAATTTTCGTTTCGATTTTTCTTTCTTTGGTTAGTTTGGTTAAATCGTCCTCAAAAATTAACCTGATGAAAATAATCTCTAATAAAAATTGGAATAGAATTAGAATTTCCACCTCCAAATTATCAAAGAATCTTGAGCGAATTCTTTAAAAAATTACCTCGCTGTTTCGACAATCTTTTTCTTTTAAGATCGATCGATTTCTCCTCCCAAAGAATTATATTATAAATCATTATACAATTTTAAATTAATCTCATAAAAAGGAAAAAAGATTGGCATTAATTTCGAGAATCGAGAAAATTTCATCACTACAGAAGAATTTCGATCGAGTTAAAAAGAAGAAGGACAAGTTTAAAAGAATCTAGCTAAAAAAAAAAAAAAAAA